ACACACACACACACACACACACACAGAGCTAGCCATATGCTCCTTGACAAACATGCTGCTCATGGGTCGTACTGGTAGAGTAATGATGAAAGGTTGTGTAAGTGAGTCGTACATATCTACATTGTGTTTAGTGTGTGGCTGTGTGAGCAGTTTAACATAAGGACCTATTTTTATGACTCATCCTGTTCTGTAAATGTGTTAATATACCATACATATATTTATTTATATATTTAATTGTTGTTTTTAAACAGAGTTAATCCTTACATCCAAACTTTCTCCTCTTTTCCCTAGCCCATATTTCCTCTGTCCTTGCTCCTCTGTCTCCTCTCCTCCCTCACGCTCTCATCTGCACTCCTGACAGTTTTCTGGCTGAGTTGACAGCAAGCCAGCCAATCACCACACTCCTGACCCTCGCATTAGCATAAGCAGCAAGGGGTAAGGTTAAGTACCATCAAGCCTCAGTAATTAAGATGTGAGCTGGTGTGTGTGTGTGTGTGTGTGTGTGTGTGTGATAAAGTGGGAGAGAGAGAGAGAGAGAGAGAGAGACCAGATGTATTCACTCATCCTCTTCACACATCTTCCACTTCCATAAACTTCTACAACAATGCAATCTCAGGTTTGTCCCCATTTTAATTCCACAACGGCTATTACAATCCATTGCAATACTTTGACTTACTTAATTTTGATGTACTTATTTGTATAATGAATTATTCATGTTTCCATATCTTTTTTCCTGTGGGTTTTGTTTTCTAACAGCGGGAGATACATCTCCATCACTGACTGCGAGCCCAAACTGAGTGGATGTGGATGAGCACACGTTGTTACTCTGGTGGAGAAATGCAGCTTCTCCTCTGTGAATAAGTGCACCGGCAAAGTTTACTGAAACAACTGTCAAAATACAAACAGTATAAATAAAACAGCAGCTAACTCTGGGCCTATGGGATCTGACTGCAGACAAACTAAACTAAAAATGTACTATACCAGCGGCCTCTAGGAGATATAGCTGAGAGAAAGAGGGGGGAGAGAGGGACGCATGCACGAGAGTGATTGACAGGAAACTGTCGAAGGAACATCTTTACAAACACGTAAGAAAGGAGAGAGAGAGAAGGGAAAAGCTGATGGTTGGGGAGATCAACGGCAGGAGAACATGACAGATGAAGCA